TTATGTGGGTACTAGAAATTTTAACTCAGGGTTTTATACTTATAGGGCAATCACTTTTACCCTCAGAGCAATCTTTCCAGCCACTTATTTGTTTGTTTGTTTCTTTCCTTATGAGACAGTCTCTCTATGTAGCCTAGGCTTCTTTTGAATTCACCTTTTTCCTGCCTCAGCCTCTTAAGTGCTGGAATTACTGGCACACATCCCCTTGCCTGTATTAAGATAGTGTTTTTAGCTGGGCAATCGTGACTCATACCTTTAATCCCAGCACTTGGGAAGCAGAGGCAGGTGGATCTCCATGAGTTCGAGGCCATCCTGGTCTACAAGAGCTAGTTCAGAACAGCTAGGGCTGTTACACAGAGAAACCCTGTCTCAAAAAAAAAAAAAAACCAACAAAAAAGATAGTGTTTTTAAATGTCCCTAATTTTTATAGAATACATTTTAATAAAAAGTGGGTCGGTGAAAGTAACCAATGGTGTCAAAAGAAGAAAGGTATGGTTAATACATATTTTAAAAGTATCTAACATGCTGGAGTGATAACTCAGAGATTAAGAACATTGTTGTTCTTGCTGAGGACCTGAATTTGGTTCCCAGTAGCCACATCAAATGGCTCACAACCGTCTTTGAATACAATTTCAGAGAATCCAACACCCTTTGGCTTTACACCCTCCCCACACACATATAAATAAAACAATCCTTAAAAAGTGACTAACATCCATAGCCATCAACAAGATGCAAATTCAAACCACCTTGAATCCCATGTCTCCTAACTCAGAACAGCTATCAACAAGGAAATTGACGGAAACATTTGGCTAGTATGTGGGAACAAAGGAAGATTGGTTCTATAGTGGGGGGATGCAAACTAATCAGTCATTATGAAGATCAAGATGGAGGTTTCTCAAACATTTAAAGCTAAAATCACCAGATGATTCAACTGTACCACTCCTGGGCATTCTCCCAAACTCCCAGTTTACTGCAGAGATGCACATATTATACTCATGTTATTGCTGTACATTTCATAATAGCAAAGAAGAGGAACCAGCCTAGTTGGCCATCAACAGACGAAGGGATAATAAAATTGCGGCCCATTTACGCAACGGATTTCCCTAAGTTTTAAAGAAAAATGAAAATTTTAGGAAATTGGACCAGATCTAAGAAGTATTTTATTAAGCAAAGCCACCCAAATTCAGAGAAAACAAAAGCATAAAACCAAACTTGTTCTCTATCATATGGAGATCCTAACTTGTGGTACCTTTGGCCATGCATGTGATTATATGCATATGTGTGTGAAAACACATGTGAGCAAAGCTTTCAAACTAGAAAGGAGACCAAGGGAAGGTTAGAGGTGGTGTTGAGGGAACAGGGTGGGAAGTGGAAAGAGGGCATAAGGACCTGGGGGGCATGAGATGGGAGAATGATACAAGGTCTGGGGAGGGACACAGGCAGAAAAATCAACCACAATGAATTTGTTTGAAAAATGCCACAATAAAACTTAATACTTTGCGGGTGAATTACAAATATAAAACTAACAAAAGATCAATTAATGAAACAAGAGTAAGAAACGAACAGACCCCAACCAATCAATGAGGCAGCATTAGATATATTACACATATTCGCCGCCCCTCCTTTACCTCCAAACATGAACAACCTTTAGAGAGAACTACATTGACAAGTGAATGTCAGACCGGGAAGGTTATTATCTGATTCTATCATGACAGCAGTGGGAAAAGGAATAGGGTATATGAACTGGCCTCTCATTTGACCTCAGAGTGAACAGCTGTGCTCTGGGATCATGACAGGCAATTTTCCCTCTACTAAAAACTCAAATTAAGCAACGGTCACCAAAGCAGTTAAAATATTAAGATTGGCCATGCATCGGCCATCCAGAATTAAGCATGGACTCACAGAGTGGGACACACTTTTAAGGCTTTAATACGACCATCTCCTTTCAGTTTTGGGGAGGGTCTGTTCTAAATCTTTCTTCAAAGAAGTCAGGTATATGACCAGGTGGGTCTCATCCTGCCTGCCCTCAGTTCCCACCCCTCCATGAGTTGATGCTTTTCACATGGTCTATTTTTATCTTTACTTGACTCATAATCAAAATCCTGGAGATAGAGTTCAGCTCACTGAATTGGAGCAGTTGTTACTGCCTTGAGCTGAAGGAACCTATAGATGGCCTTTTCATTCCACAGCAGTTACAAATACTTAAGGTTAATTATTTCTCCTTTTTGTGATAACCCCTAATCACAGGATGACTGTTAACTCCATTACACAGTCCATGCTGGTGGATTCCCAAGGTCCCCTAGGTTGTTTAGGATGTACTGATTAATTCCAAAGGTTTCAGACTGCTTAAAGGATTCTAGTTCCTATCAGCAGTATCAGAATCTTTGTGGCACAGGCAACTCAGAAACTCCTTGCTGGGAGATGAACATAAACTACTATGTCGTATTCTCAGTCTTGCTGCTGTTTTCAGTTATTTGCACAGTACAATTGTAGAGTGATTCTGCTCCCCCAGTTACACATTTTATAAATAAGACAATTTCTTGTCCTGTTATCTGAGTCTTAGCCTTTTTTTAAATAAAATCACAGATCTGCATTTTGAACATCATTAAGGTAAATATCATCATTATCATCATCATTATCACCACCACCAACAGCAACAACAAAAAAGGTCTGAAAAAGAGAAAACTGAGATAGTTTCCAGCGACAAAATATTGGTTCTCACTTTCATTATTATTGTTTACATAGTCCTGGATATCTTAGCCAGGATTAGGCAAGAGAAAGAAACAAAGGAAAACCAGTCAAGGAAGAAAAAGTGAAGTTATCCTTCTTTGAGGATGACATGATTGTTTATGGAGAAAACAGTATAAACTACACCGAAAATGTTTAGAATTAATAATTCAGTGAAGATCTTCAACATAATATCAACAAACATTTTTATGTATCAGTAATAAATGACTGATTTTTTAAAAAGAAAATCTTCCTGAAGAGAGATGAGGACTAGACTTCTTTTGGGGTATAATGATAGACATTAAAATTTAGTTAAGGTTTATGCTAGCTTAATAAAGTGGTGGTTGTAGATTGCTTCCAACATTCATAACTTCGTTAGCTTTTGGCAATTGGTTAGGTGGTCAGTAACAGGCACACGTTTTCCTCCTGTTGAGTGACTCATAGTTTTCATTACAGAGCTGTTAGGTACCACCAGGGTGTATGTCACTACTGAACACTTAGGACTATAATGCATATTAGTTCTTATTGTGATGTATAGGCCTCATATCTGGGTAGGATTGTTGGTGAAATATCATTTAGAACAGTCTTATCCAAAGTCTCACAGAGATACATTACTCAGAAATAAATTTTACTAAAGAAGTAAATGAGGGCTAGCAACTTGACGCGTAGGGTAATTTCCACCAAGGTTAACAATCTGAGTTCAATACCTAGAACATAATTGAGAGAAGGAAAGAACTGAGTTGTGCAACCTGTCTTCTGACGTCCATTTGTGTGCATATGCACACACCCACACAAACAGACAAATAAATGTAATTTAAAAATTGAAAGAAAAAACTGAAAGATCTCCATAGTGAAAATTTAAAAACAATGGAAAAATTGTGAGATTACATACAAGAAAACAGACTCAACTTACGCTCATCAACTCAAAATATTGCTACAATATTCATCTGAATCCCAGTTGGTATATCTATCTGGAAAGGATCAGGAGGTGTGGCCTTGTTGAAGGAGGTGTGTCACTCAGGGTGGGCTTTGAGGCTTCAAAACCCAAGTCATTCACAGTTAGCTCTCCCTGCCTTACGGTTGTTGTCTCAACATGTAGGGTCTCAGACAAATGTCGATTATGGTGACTTGATCATGGCACACTACATACATACATCAAATTATATTATACCTCACAAATAAGCACACTTGTCAAACAAAGTCTTAGAGAAAATGTTAAATGAATTTATAAATGGCTGCAAGCACCACTTGCTTTTAATCATATAACTTTCAGAATCCACAATCCAGACCCCAGCATCACGCTGTCTCTCAGAATTTGTCTTGACCTGGATGGTAGTGACATGGGCTTACAACTTTGCAAGACTCTAGATTTCTACAGATTAGAAAACCCATTAACCCCAATTTTAGTACATTTTATTCCGTAAATGCTGTACTTCCATCAAAACATAAGCTGAATAAATCCCACCAAATTGAACCATCAGAACCTATAGTGTCCAAATTCAAACATTTTCATGTAACATCTTTACATTCAATTATACATGAAGGACTGAAGTTATTGAAGACACAAAGACAGCAAGACAGGGCTCTACAGTATGTTAAAGAATCTCTGTAAAATGGTAAGTCAAGAGTCTTTATCATTAAGTAAAAGAACAACGTTCTGTTAGAGTCTACCTATTAGCAATGCTACTATTGGCAGTTATTTTACTGTATCCTAAACCGGCATTGTGCACGTCTTTTATTCCCTGCACATATAGCACACTCACAACACTGAAGCATTTTTTTTTTTTGCATTTTACTGTTTAAGTACCTGCCCCCTGTGATAAAATAGAAACCATTTAAAGATGTGGGTAATGTATTATTCCTCTGAGCATTTTCCCCCCAATTTGGCATAGTGCATGGTATGTAGTAGATATTCAGTAGGTGTTTATCATCAAATAATCCAGACACAAATGATAACAGGCAATTAAACTCCTACCTATGTAAATACTAAGGACAGGCTCGTCTACTATGCCAACAGTATGTTTTGAGTCTCTTTAAATCCCAGTAAATCTACCACATCTTAAGCTCAGAGTATTCTTTTGGTCCCATTTTAGAACTGCTTTTATTTTAAAGACAGGAAAACAAACAGTCCAAACTCATTTTTTCTGTGTTAAGCTAACATGGGGATTAAAAAAAATAATACGGCTCTGTGATTTTCACCCAACTAGGAGAGGCTATTTTGGAACTGTGTGGACTTTAGATATTTGAAGCAGTAATTACTTCCCCCATAAATGTTACCTTTTAGAGTCAAATACTATTTTCCCACTGCACTTCACATTTTCCTTAAAGGAAAACATGTTTTATTCAGAGTTGACTGTGCTGTGTTCCTGTGTGCGGAAAGTCTCCTTTCCATTTGTGTAGATGGCTTTGTAAGGTCCGCCAATCAAGGCAGCTAGGAGAATAATTTACACCCCATTAAATATTAGGCCTTACATGTTCTATATCATTGAATACCCACAAAATATGATGATCATTTATACATCTGTACTTATGCATATTATTATATCATCTCAGACAACATTTTATCCATCCATCCATCCACCCATTCATCCATCAACAAAGCTTAGAGATTTTCTAGTGAGTATGTGGTGTGATCAGGGTAACAACACCCGAGAACTCACCTCCACATTTTATATTCTTAGCTGTTTAAAGTCTTGCAACAGAATTCATGGAACATACTTTGCATAATTATGGATTCAGGGCTTTCTTTAGAGAACTACTTATGTAACTATTTAAAAAAATAAACAGGATTTTTTTTTTAGAGTAATGATATACCAAGTTGATGCAGATAAGAGTCCAATAGTCTTCTTTTCACACTGAACAACACATTATCCATGCTTACCTCACGTTCAACAACATTGGCTGTATGTCTGGGATTTTTTTTTCTATAACTTACCATTGCCTTGGGTTTTGTTCCAGAAATGCTCTCTGGAGTGGACCATGAATCGGTGGAGTCAGTGTTAGAAGACAGAGTCACCTGCGTCTGATTTACTGAGATACTATCTGTCCTGCTTTCAGATCCTGATTCCAGATCCTGTTAAAGAACAAATCATGGCCATAAAAAAGGGCACAGAGTTGAACCCTATACACTTATTTCCTCCTGCCAGCGGTCCTCCCTTCTATGTGACTTCCTGTAACTCAAAGCATCCCAGAGGCAGAAAGGTGAGGTGCCTTCCAGACTTCCTTGCAAGGTCTTGTGAATGCCACATGAAAACATGTTTCCAGTCTTAGCTCACCATGTAAGTAGTGCTTTTCACTATGAAATTACAAACTGTCGATAGTATTGAAACTCATTTACTGCAGATGGGATGTAATATGAGGCAGTTAACAAGTAAATGAGTATGAATAGTGATACTGCTTTCTTTAAGCAGTGTGTCTGTGTGTCCATCTGTCCATACAGGGCTGTGTGAAGTACAAAATTGTAACCAAATTTCTTGTGCTTGAAATGACTTCAGGTCAGACTACTTTATGACTTTCCATAGAAGACAAAAACCATGTTTTCTTCTAAATAAAATATGGCTCACTTGAATTTCAAGTTGAATTAATATGAAATGGATACCAGCAAAAAAAAAACAGGTAGTTTATAAACATTAAATATATAGCCATGAGTAATAATTCATTTAATTTACCTTTTTATAAATAGCATGGGTATTGTGCATTAATTTTGCCCATCCATGATATAATGAGGTAGTTAAAAGGGTACTTTTTTATTTTCTAACCACACAATAATAAGTATCAGGTGACCCAGATACTGTTAAGATTGAAAAGTAGTTTTGATACTTGGAGATGTGTACTATTTATGTCTTGTTTATTGTCTTATATGAGTGTTGAAGGAAACAGAAGAGACTCAACAATGGCCAAGCATATTCTGGGCTAGATCCATGCATTTCTGCTTATGTATGTTTTTTTCTTTTGTCTCCCTAACCAGCTGTTAGTTAAACAGTTCATCTTTGTGTGTTCCTCTCTCGACATGAGCCTACCATTGAGAAATTAGACAGTTTTCTTATGGTCTTAGGTAGCCAGTTATAAAGCTGAGATCCAAATGGACCTTCAGTCACTAACATTTGTAATGCTTCTGCTAACCTATTTTGCTTTATTTCAACTGATGATAAACTGAGATCTTAGAAACAGATGTTATGTTTATAGTGGCAACAAATATGGTAATAATTATGGTTATAGTCTATGAGATAGTTTATGAAATACTAAAGTCCAATTTACAACTTATGTAGAAGTGCAAATCATAGATATAGACAAATGACTTGATCATCATGTATATTAACTCACGTGTTTGGTTTATCTTTACTGCATAAACCCCAGAGGGCAGGGGGTAGCTTACTTTTTTATTTATTTATTTATTTATTTATTTATTTATTTGTTTATTTTGTTTTTTTGAGACAGGGTTTCTCTGTGGTTTTGGAGCCTGTCCTGGAACTAGCTCTTGTAGACCAGGCTGGTCTCGAACTCACAGAGATCCACCTGCCTCTGCCTCCCAAGTGCTGGGATTAAAGGCGTGCGCCACCACTGCCTGGCCGTGTGCCACCACCACCCGGTGGTAGCTTACTTTTTGAAATGAAGTTAAAAAAACATGGTGTTTTGTAGAAATCTCTACTGTGTTTTTCTATTTAATATACGGGGACTGAAAAATGTTGGCTGGAGAGAGAAGAGATTAAAAAGCATGCAAAACTGTAACAAACCACCCCAAAAAACTTAAAAATAATAAAGTATAAGCCTGGTGGTGGTGGTTCATGCTTTTAATCCCAGTACTCGGGAGGCAGAGACAGGTGCATCTCTGTGAGTTCGAGGCCAGCATGGTCTTGGTCTACAACAGCTAGTTCTAGGACAGGTTCCAAGAGTACAGAGAAATCCTGTCTCAGAAAACTACTACTACTACTACTACTAATAAATAATTACTAAAACATATATCAGACACCATAAATGGCAAGTAGGTACCAAGTCCTAGGGCCTCATAAAAAATAAGATATTTCTGCCTTTAAAACAATGAGGACTACTGAGAACTCAAGAACAATGGCAATGGGTTTTTGATCCTACTGCACATACTGGCTTTGTGGGAGCCTAGGCAGTTTGGATGCTCACCTCACTAGACCTGGATGGAGGTGGGTGGTCCTTGGACTTCCCACAGGGCAGGGAACCCTGATTGCTCTTTGGGCTGACGAGGGAGGGGGACTTGATTGGGGGAGGGGGGGAATGGGAGGCGGTGGCGGGGAAGAGACAGAAATCTTTAATAAATAAATTAAAAAAAAGTGCTAGAGAAAAATGAGTGTGAAATTTTTGTCTTTTCTTCATACATCAATCAAAGTAAAGCGTCTTTTCCTGTAGGCTGTTTTGACTGCGTTTCTCTCATTTAGGTCCCCTTTCTCTTTGCTAAAATGAAACCAGGTGCCAGCAACTAAGACAGCATTAGGGAGAGAAGAAATAGATTTTTTCTAAATTGTTTCTTATATACAATTCACTAAAAAGAAAATAAGTGCAATGAATCTTGAAGGATAAAAAATTACTGATTACCAGAAATGAAAATTTCATTTTTACCAGCTTTCGAGATTGAAATCTAGTTTCATATCAATTGGATGGTTGTTATGTTGGTTGTTGTTCTAGAGGTATCAGCTTCTCATTCTAGCCTGGTTGAATACTGTAGCCCTGGATTGTGCCCGGCTGGGTTTATTTCTGTGCCAACTCTGGCACATGCAATCTTCAACTTCTTACATCTTACACATCTTGCAACATTATGGGGGATATGTGTGGTGACATAAACGGAGCACATGGTGCTAGCCCTTGCTCCTCTACCTCAGAATCAATAGGGAAACTATATTAAGTAAGAAACTAGTGAATTCTGCTTCACTAGGTCCTAAAAGCTGCCTATGTGATAGTCTACATTTTGTATCTCACGTAAATATCAATGTCTTGATTCAGTTCATTTATTATTTTGTGCAATGCAAATCCTTGTTTAATAGAAAAGGGATGCGGCTTAATTATAGTTAAACTCTATGCTATATATGCTAGGTCTACCCAAACCAAGCCACTCAACTTGGAACTATTAATAAATATGTAAAGGGTAGAGCCAATTTTAGGATCTGTTTTTTCTAAATTTTATTTTGAGTTTTGGAATCACATTGGAGCATCTTGTCATATAAACTTAATGGGATAAAATTCTCACTTTTCTCCTAATTATTTTTCAGAGTATATTTTAGACTACAAAGAAGTTACCCTCATGTGAATTATTTTTCACAGTATACACAAGTAGCTCACCTGTATCTATGTATCCATCTCCCATCCAACCACCCACCAAAACCCATGCAGCCATCCACCCATCCATCCTCCCATCCATCCTCCCATCCATCCTCCCATCCATCCTCCCATCCAACCACTCATTCATCTACTCATCCATCCACCCACCCAACCATCCTCCCATCCAACCTTTCATCTGTCCATATAGAAAATACTTTTAAGACATGTTTTTTTTCATGCAGTGTAAGATTATAGAATAAGAATTTATGTCTGAGAAATAATTGGTCACAACTGGAAAAACTGGAAAAATTATTTATCCAGATAAACATAGTATTTGTAATGATTGCATTATGTTGTTGAAGAATAGCAAATATAGTCATATTTGCAAACTACTACAGCAAAGAGGCTTTAATCCCCAGGAAGCAGAGTTTCCTAAGGCCATTTTGTTTCCTTTTTAATGTTAAGTTTTGTTGTCACCCATGTGTCTGTGGACTCTCTGTATGATGTATGGAAACCACTGAGTGATATTTAAGGGATTCTGTTTCATTTATCAGTAGATGCCATTATCAAAGACGTTTCACTATTAAGAGAGACCATATGAGATAAAGAGGAACTATTCTAACTGGGCTTGTAATCCTAGCTTCTTGAGCAGCAAAGGCAGGAGGGTAGTAAGTTCAAGGTCAGCTGGGGCTATATAATGAGTATAACGATAGCCTGGCCAACATGTTAAGTCGGTGTCTCAAAGTAGAAACAGGGCTGCTGATATAGTGAAGCGGAAGATTGATTGCCTGGTGTGGGTCAGACCTGAGTATCATCCCAGTTTCTGGAAAAAAAAAGCTAAACAAACACTAATAACAAATAGCAAAACAGACACAGAGAGGCACTATTCCACTAGAAGGAAGAGGCTCACAGGGACATGCCGTCGCAGGTTCGTCGGGGTACTGGATGGGGAAGAGGCAGTGCTGAGAGCGTTCTCGATGTCTTGGTCTAGTTGGTCCAGTTTCATTATTAGCAGCACCATGGAGTCCAGCCGTGGCCTGTCTTGATTGTCCCTTGTGTCCTAAGGAACAGAACATGCTGTTACTGAATCTGAAAGGCCATTTTTTAAAAAAAGAATAAAAGTTCCCTGTTCTTCATAGTGATAAAAAAAAAAAAACACTGGCTAATGGGCGGTCCTTTATTTGAGAAGGTTTTGTCTGGGTCATCAATGGGCCTTTCATGGAGGAGAGAGGCTCATCTTGTGGATTTTACATGAATATTCAACACATGAAACAGAAGTAGAGTCACTACAAGTACATGTGCACACTTCCAACTTCCTAATGAACTATTATTGGGAGAATTTATTTGTAGCAGTCCTTTTAGAGTACAAATTTATTGTTTGTGATTCTAATAATTGTGAGTTTGTACTTATGAATGCATGTGACAGAATATTTGCACCACAATATCTTTTGACATATTGAAATACTCAGAGAGTGTGAAGCTAGGGAAGTCTTTGTCTTGTGTGTTGGATAGTTCTCTGCATGAAACAGTTACCTACTTGCGTTTCCAGCTACAGCAGGGCCAAGATTCCTTATAAATATCTTTTAATTCTTCCACACAATTAAAAACAGGCTCGTTAGACAGTTTTCTCTCTCTCTCTCTCTCTCTCTCTCTCTCTCTCTCTCTCTCTCTCTCTCTCTCTCTCTCTCTCTCTCTCTCTCTCTCTCTCTCTCTCTCACACACACACACACACACACACACACACACACACACACACACATGACAGTTTATTGGGAGTTGCAATGGAGTTAGGCTCAGTTCTTTCAGTGTTAAGCATCACCCAAGACTCAGGCTGCCAATTTCCCATATCTCTCTGAAACTTGTTTGAGGAAAATCAACTTTAAAAGGAGAGCTCATGGCCAAACTGAAGGGGGGGAAACAAGGTTATAATGAGTCCTGGATATGTCCACAGAGAATGCTATGCTTGGGTTTAGCTTTGGCAACAATTATTAATAAATGATGGACGTAATTAAACATGAGTCTGTCTTTTTGTCTTGTTTGAGACCCTCCTCTTTTCTTCCCCTCTCCTTTTACTCCTCTCCTCTCCTGTTACCTCCCCTGTCCTTTCGTCTTCTCCCCTCTCCTCTCCTTCCATCTCTTCTCCTCTCTCACTCTGTCTTTTATCTGTATGTGGGGTGTGTGTACTCCTTAATATGGATGTAAACATACATGTGTGAGGGTCCATGTGTACGTGTGTGTAGCTAAGTACGGAAGCCTAAGATGGACATTGGACATCTTCCTCAGTGCCTCTTTTTTTGTTGAGACCTGATTTTTCACTGCACATGAAGCACAGCAATTTTGGTAAGCAGACTGGCCGATGAACCTTACAGGTCCACCCCACCTGTCTCTGTATTCCTGACCTGGGTTACAGAATTTTGCTGCCACCCCTGGTTTTTACATGCTCTGGGGATTTGAACCCTGGTCCCCAGGTTCATGTGGCTAGCACTGTTCACCAACGGAGCCACCTTTCAAACCCTAGGCATTGATTTTAGTCCCTTTACATTTCTTAGCTTCTCCAAGGACCAGGGACACCATGGGTTAATCTAATTCTATAGGCATATTCCTTAAACAAGAGTCTAATTCTATAGGTATATTTCTTTAAAAGCCAAAATAGATTGTTTTTAATACAGGGCACAATCTTTCAGAGGGTAAATAAATGTTTTATTAACTTAATTTTATCAGTCTCCTTAAGTTCTTTTCTAGTTAGAGAGATAAGTTGACAAGAGCGATTGAGGGGAGAAATGGTACATTTTAGTTTATAATCCATCATTACAGGAAGCCAAGGCATCAGGACTCTGAAGCAGATAGTCATATACACCCACAGTCAAGAACAGAGGGTGGTCAATTAGTTCACACATGTCAGTAATCAGAGTACTTTACTGTTACACAGTCCAGGACCTTTGCCTAGGGAATGCTGCTACCCGTGGTGGGCATGTCTTCTTGTCTCAATGAGCTTCATCAAAATGATCTCCCACACATGCCCAGAGTCCCTTTTTTCAGGTGAGTTTTGTCAAATTAATGGTTTGTAAACCATCACTTGAGCTAATATTAGATAAATCATTTGTTTGTTTTTCTTCATTCTAGAGAATGTTATATACAATAAAATATGATATCATCCAAATCCTTTCCCCATATTATCCACAACACTTCCCATTACCAATGTTATATATTTTTGTTTGTTTTTCCTTGTTTTGAGACAAGGCCTCTCATTATGTAGCCTTGTCTGATCTGGTACTCAAAACCCACCTGCGTTTGCATCCCTAGGAGAGTGATAGGATTAAGAGTATGCAGTCTTGCTCTTTTTATTAATTGTTTTTAAATAATTATTTATTATGTATACAATATTGTGTGTATGTCTGCAGGCCAGAAGAGGGCACCAGACGTCATTACAGAGGGTTGTGAGCCACCATGTGGTTGCCAGGAATTGAACTCAGGGCCTTTGGAAAAGCAGGCAATGCTCTTAACCACTGAGCCATCTCTCCAGCCCCTATTAATTTTTTTATTTTATTTTTTGATAATGGACTCAGTCAAGTTACGGATACCCATATATACACGGGTGTAGGGCCAACCAAAGCTAGATAAGCTTTTTTTTTGAAAACAAACTTTCCTTAGTTTAAAAACTTAATATGACATAAAAAGGCTACTTCTTTTTTTCCCATAAAAGCAGATTAACTTTGAAATTAAATTGAGATTTTTGGAATCTACTAATTTATTCTGGAAACCATGCAGCTCTTATAATTTGATTTAGTCTCATTGTCCCTTTCTTGAGGAACATTTAATGACTGCCGGAAAATCACCAAATTTTTATTGGCCTTAAAAGTGTCCATATTTAGCCAGGCGGTGGTGGCGCACGCCTTTAATCCCAGCACTCGGGAGGCAGAGGCAGGCGGATCTCTGTGAGTTTGAGACCAGCCTGGTCTACAAGAGCTAGTTCCAGGACAGGCTCCAAAGCCACAGAGAAACCCTGTCTCGAAAAACAAAAAACAAAAAAAAAAAAAAAAAAGAAAAGAAGAAAAAAAAAGTGTCCATATTTGCAAGAAAGAAATCTTAACATTTATATGTTATTCAATAATAATATAGAACTTTGTTATATACAAAGCAGCTATTTTCACAGTGAAAAATCCTGCTTATAAGCTGAAATAACATTCTGGAAATATTACAGATCATTGCATCAAATTTACCTACAAGTTCTCAAAAAAAAAAAAAAGAAAGAAAAAGAAAAGTCTTACTACTGAGTCATCAAATCCCTTAATCACGGTTCAGATTTATTTCTCATATATTTCCCTTGTATTTTGAGCCAAAGATAGATTTGGGAAGGTGAAGATTTGTGCATCTTTGTGCCCATATGTGGCTTTCATTGGCAACCATTCATATCTCAGTTGTAATATTCTCAAGGACACAGATTCAAGTTTTCTACCTAGCAGAAATGGAATGAAGTTATACAGCAGAGAAGCAACACATTTTCAGGAAAAGTGGTGAGATCAATACAGCCAAGATATACTAACACGCAAGCCTTGGAAAATAAAAGCTGATATTTTTTCCAGCTACTAAGTTAAAGTTGGATCTAGCAGTACATCCGCAACCCCTCAGTGATGGTCTCAGAAACAATTTGTCTTTGAATAAACTGGACATTGAGATTATACTCTAAAAATATGTTCTATATTCATTGGCTGAACATCAAATTATTTCAGTGATCTGCCCAAAGGATAAAACCAAACAGCCTTGAACTCTGATATTCTCTTAAACAATGAGTCCCATTTCTTTCCTCTCTCCTCCATGCATACCTCCTTGCTCACCATCCATTACGGTCACTCTGAAATGTCAGGAGCTTTTATGCCACACATACACAAAACCTCCCCAAAATAGAGTGATTAAAAATCTGATGCTTTGTATAAATATCCTTATACTTAATTTTAGAGCTCAAGTTTTAACGTCTCATGAAGTTCTGCTTTTTCATATATCCCGGGCCAGACTCCAGCAAATAGTTTATGCCTGAAAATACAAGAGTGCATTGCGGACTCTGGACTTTTTCATGTCTTCAATGGTGATTTAACTTCATTCCTTTACTATTGTTCATGAAGAAGAATTTTATTACATTAAATTATTTACTCATGAGTCCAAGATTTCTATAACTTCACTCCCTCGATTCAAGACCAATGTGATAAATTTGCCTCCACACATCTATCTTTCCTTTTTTATTATGATTACAGCTGTTTTAAGTCAAACATCATTAAAGGGGCTGAATATCCATCGGCAGAGAAGAGAAGACTCCTGTTGTCCTGAATGTTTTAGTCAGCCCCAGGGATATGAAAATCAGCAGATTCATAAATAGTTTTAAGTAGAAACTCATGTAAGAATTTAAAAATAGGATAGTGAAATAAATAACTACAGTGTTCCTGTCCACATATATATGTCCATAATATATTAATATATACTTAGAATATAACATGTTAACTAGCATACAATATATTAATTGATATAATATATTAATGTATAATATATAATTTGTTAGTATAGTATATTAGAGTCAGGAAAATGCTGTCTGTGGAAATTAAGAGTCAAACCAGAATGGGAGGAGGAGAAGATGATAGGGGCAAAGACAGAGACAGGTGATGGAGGGAAGGGGGATGGTGGAGGTGCAGGGCAACGAGAGGGAAGGCAGTGGAGAGACAGGAAGACAGCATTCCAAGTGAAAGGAAGATGCAGTGGTAGTGAGACAAAAGTGAAACTGGTCAATAACAAGACCAGGGTTGGGAGGGTGGAGGTGAGGAAGGAATGGGGCAAGGGGCATCATATGAATCAGATTCTGTTTGGAAGGCCACTGCAAAGAGAGAACTTACTCTGTTCAGGGAAGGTCATCATGGGGACATGGGGAGTGATTTTATAAATGCTTTGTTTTCTTTTCAAATATAGCCAAAGAAAGGTATTTGAAACTTCAAGCACACTTGCTACCCAGCTATGTCACATGATCAACAAGTGCCTTTATTCTAAGTTCTGTCTCCTGGTTCTAACCTTCTTATG